TCACTTGTATGTGTATCTGAACTTTTAGTCTTTTTGAATTTCACTTTTTTCTTGGACTTTTTCTACAATATACAGAAAGAATCAAACTTGCACAATCTCATACAATTAAAAAAGAATTTTCTTCAAATGTTTTTACCAGATTGAATAATGAAGTGTACAAAGATTATTTTTGAGACGCTCTAAGCACTTTAAAAAATACATAGTATTATGTTTGTGCAATGTTTATTTGCAGTAAGAGACTGTGCATGGTCAGTACTTCATGTAAGAACCATAAATGGCACCTACTAATATACTACTGTATTAGGGTTAGGGTTAGGTTTAGTGTATATATCGGGTTGGGTCTTACATGAAGTACTAGCCCTGTAGAAACAAATTGAAAATCATCTATTGAGCATGTGCAGTAGCCCTCACCTTCTCTTCTACAATTGGTTCTTCCTCTGGCTCATATTTCTTRTGGAAAAATGTCATTTGACGACTCACGTGATCTGCTAGCTGGTCATCTGACATGTATTGACCAATCATAGGTCGGAATGTTGATGATAAATGYTTTCTAGAAAGTATATATTAAATTTATTATTAAGACTTTGATAAAAAGATATATGTAACTGTAATTTATATTGCTGAATGAGTTTTTTTTTATTGTACTACCCTAATCTGTTTATTAACTCACTTCAGTGGTGTCCTGACAGGCATTTTAGCGACTTCATCGGTCTTCTCCAATTCTTGTTCTGAAGAACTAATGACAGCAGACTCAGCCATCTTTCTGTTATTCGGCAAGTAATGCTGGATTCTTTTTCTTTATAAACTAAACTCTGTCCTTAAGAAAAAGGAAAGAACACATTAAGTGTTATTTAGGCAACAATAGCTAATTTTAAATAATTATTTAAAGTCAAAACAGTTTGAAAAGTCAGAATTCAACTCACAAAGCTAACTTCTGTTGCCATGAGATAAACTTGGAAGCAAAATCCCAGTCAATTTTCCACGTAAAATGCAACTAAACCCCGCAAAATCGATTTCCATGTTATCATAGTACGTAAGAATCATTTTTTACATCATGAACTTAAAAGAAACTGGAAAAAAATCAAGTAAACTTTGACGAAAACACTTTGCAAAAACAAACTAATAACAACAGTGAATGTTTATCGCCAGGCGCAACAGCTGATCTTACACGAGTTTTCATTGGTTCACCCATTAGYTCTCGACCAATAGAATTTATCGTTATAACATTATCCACAATTCCTTACCGGTATTTTAATTGGGCCTTTCTTAACCAATCAGAGSTATTGTTTTATTTAATTATACGTGTTCCAATATGGCGGCGCCGTGGAGACGAAAAAACTGAAAATGAAAGCTTTATAAAAGAAAAAGACAAYCTTACGATGCTGCGATTTTGTTGGTGATGGACACACGGCCTGAACATGGACTGTACTCCATCTTGTCGTCTTCACAGCCATGCATACGCTATACTATCTGCTATTACCCGCGAGGATCTCCCCACGGTCAAAGCCGTGATCAARAGAGTTTGCTCRAACCCTRCAAACTTGACTGACCGTCTTGGCCGCCATGCCATTCATTTGGCGGCTTCATGTGGGAAGACAGAGATCTTACAATGGCTGATTGAAGAATGTAAAGTGAACGTGGAGCTGCGAGATCAGGAGAACGGATGGACCGCTTTGCACAGAAGYTTGTTCTATGGACAAATCAGCTGCACCGAGTTGCTCTTGCAAGTAAGCTTTTACCGTTTACCTTGGAATTTTCCTTATATAAAGGGGAAAAAAAGAAGGGTATCCAATCTCTTTAGGTGTCGTCGGATAGGTAGTCTTTGGGATTCTTGCGTGGAGACCCATGGACTATATTTTTTATTTGTTTACATTCAAGCTTATAGTCTTAAAAGTGAAATACTGATGATAGAAACGAATGGGAATTTGGAACTACWCGCTGACCCACCCTCAATTGCATAATGGTGAATTTCTCTGGCATCCACCAGTGCAATAATCCTCTTCTTCTTCTCTGTAGAATTTTTTTTTTTTTTGCATTGAAATAACAGAACAAAATGAGTGTGCAATGATAGAAACCTTCTTTCACACTAACAGACAATTATTCACGTCAGGTATCTATCATTGCACCTCATTGCACACTCACCAATAGTCTTGCCTTGATGCAAAGGAATGCCTTTAAACATAGCGCAGGGAATCTTCAAGGAGACTATTTATTATGAAGTGGAGACCGACCAGACGTCTGGTCTAACTTCCCTTGTTAAGAAGGAAATGTGGAAAAACAAGAGGCAGTAACATCCAAATTATTCTAAGATCCCTTTCCTTATCCCAGACCAATTTTTGTGATTTTACATACCCTAYGCCAGACAAAACGTACAAAGGTATATTAGTTTTAGCTCTGAAAGCGTGACCTAGCAGATACGATCACAGGCAAAACTCCACCCTACCCCTGACAATGAGACTATACCCTATCCTASACAAAAAACTACCCTATCCAAGACAAAACTACTACCCTATCCCAGACAAAAAGACCACCCTATCCCAGACAAATGAGCAAAAAATGATACCCTATCCYAGACYTGGAGCTCYGAAAAAGGGGTGGTATAGATTCTAAGATAAAACCTTGATGACCTCCCATTCAGTGGACAGGCCACTATGGCAACAAATAATAAATAACTCTTTTATTTTGAGAGGGTATCAAGTAATAGTCTCTAGACTAGTAAACTTGTGGCCCTCTATATATTCACTGACACTCACTACCTTAACATTCATTATTTTACAACACGACACTCCTCACAGCTAGTTTTTGACTGAGGGAGGAAAACCAGCGGACCTGGAGAAAAACCTTCGGAGCAAGGAAGAGAACCAGCCTACAAACTCAGATCGCATATAGTCCCGGACTGGGAATCGAACTAGCAGTGATAGACCGGCATTTTAACCGCTCTGCCATCCTTGCTCCCCAACAGAAATACATGTAACCAGTTGTTTCTSTTAGATTAGAAATCATTATAATATATTGTCACTGTATTTCCAGCATGGTGCTGATCTTTATGCTCTTGACAAAGAAGACTTTACACCACTTGACCTTGTACTATTGGATAGTCCATTCAAGTTATCAACATCAGGTAGAATTTACTTTCATCAAAAATGAACTGGTGTTATTTACAGAAAAATAGTGGGAAGTTTTGAGAGATGGTCCTTCCTTTTGTAAGAGCATTTACAATTACTTACAGTTGTATTAGAGATTTCATTTTTCTGAAATGTTTAGATTTCATAAATGGCAAGTCATTTCTCACTAGACAGGTTGGCAAAATATACTGATATTCAATAAATCTTTTTTGTATTTTCAGTGGATGCCAAAGTCATAGCTAGATATGACACCAAGCTGGATGATGAGCTGTGTCTTTGTGGCAGTGATATTGTTACAGATATCCATATGTCAGGGCCCAGTTATTGGACTGGAAGCTTAAGGGGAAAAAGAGGTTTTTTCCCTAAAAGTTGCGTTGAGTTAATCAGACAAGGTATAAATACATATAAACTGACACATTTATTTCAACATACTTTATATTTCATACTCACCCTCAACCGTTAATTGGTTATTATAAAAATAAATGTATTATATAATATAATACGAATATGTGGATATTTTTACATATAGTACAAATCCAAAAGTCATGTGTTTTGAATCACAGTGAGTTCAGAAATTATTTTTCCTAATCCCAAGGGTCTTTTACCTGKAATAACCTCCTTTCTAAACACTATAACTTTCTCTTATTTAAATTTCATGATTTGTAGTAATTTATTATTATATAATCATTATAGATTACAGAAGTGATTTGTATACATGGGGAGCCAATACAAACTTTACACTAGGACATAAAGATGAGAGTTTAAGACAAAATCCAGAAATGGTTGAAACACTAAGTAATGACAMGACAGTTAGCATTGCTGAGGTAAGAAAATTCATTTTTCAGTAAGTTCTTCTTCCTTGAAACTTAAGTTCAAATAATTAAGTTTATAGATATTAATTGTACTTTTCCATCAGGTTGTGATGTGCAAATTCCATTCAGTATTTTTGACTCAAGATGGGAGRGTTTTTACATGTGGMCATGGCAGAGGTGGAAGACTGGGACATGGCAATGAACAAACTCAGTTGGTAAAGGAAAATCTTCAGTTTTGCTGTTTCAGTCTGTGAACACAATATATAATGATCATATTTCCTGTTATATACTAGATAAATTGATCTTATTTCAGGCACCTAAGAAGGTTGATAGTCTGAAAGACCACAATTGTGTAGCCATAGCAGCATCACA